CTGAAACTCATGGTTTTTCTGCCTCAGCCTCCCCAATGCTGACAGTGCTGGGATGACAGGCAAGGCATGTTCTACCAGGCCTGACTGTTGCTGGGATTTCTCCAGATCTTCACCTTCCAATGTAGTGTGTGCGCGCGCGTGTATGTGTGTGTGTGTGCGTGTGCGTGCGCGCACGCGTGTGTGTGTGTGTGTGTGTGTGTGTGTGCGTGTGTGTGTGTGTGTGTGATAAAGATCCTGAGGCAATCCAGAACAGGGCTTTCAAAAGCATGGAAGAGCTGCCCATTAGATGTTGTGCTGCTGGATATCCTGGGATGTAAACCTCTGCCACACTGGATAAACCATCCTGCCTCACGAAGCCTGGTTTGGGGGTGTGTGGTAGTGGAGGTATCGTTTCTGCAATACATTATTTATTTCGATGTCGTTTATGTTAACAGACTGGCAAGCAGAATTTCATTTTCCTCATGACATGTTGCTCCTTCAGATTATGTGGTGGAGTGTTGGGTTCTCTTCGGGTATGTGTGTGACTAAGGGGGGGTGGTGGAAGAGGAATGGGTCTCCTTTGATCCTGGGTAGATCTGGGCTCTGGGTGTTTGGTGAGTCATACTTTTGTATTATCTTGAACATTTCCATAATAAAAACTAAGCCAAGAGAAGCAATGAGAGCCTGTGGAGCCGGAGCGGGTGCAGGGCCAGCCCAGGGTCTGGTTTTTGGTCCTACCGTCTTCATATGGGGTCTGCTCTGGGCTCCATTGTGTTCCAGGGGTTCTGCAGGGCACACCACTCCTTTTCTGAAGCCAGGGAAGCCCACGTCTGTCCTGGATCCCACTCCCGGGTTGCCTGTCCTTTTCCCAGGAATCTCCTGCAACTTTTTGATGGCGGGAGTCTCTCCCATTCCCCTCGGTGGTGTCGATTTTATATATGCGCATACTTAATGTACTATCGTTAGAGTGGAGTGTCTGGAGGGAGGGGAGGGGCCTCACCCACCTGCTGTCTTCTTGCGGGAAATTCTGTAAGAGATATTTTTAAACAGCTTTGTAGAACTGTGGTGAGCGTTCTTTGTGGTTTCCTGGCTGGGTGTTCAGGATCCACTGATCCGAGGCACTGAGATTCAGCCAGTCAGGGTGATAAAGTGCCAGGGTGGGTGATGGGCCCCGTCTCCTAGCCATGCCAATAGGTGGAGATGTGGAACCTTCGTTTAGAGTGGCAGGTAGCCCGGTGCACCCACCTCTGGGAGGAGGGGGCCTCAGCTGTCACATGTCAGAAAGACGAGGTTGGGAGTTGTAGACGGTGCTGGCGGGGCTTGGCTGAGCACTGGCACCCCTGGTGCAGCTATGCCTGCTCAGGTCTGTTTGACAAGGTCTCTTATGCTCCAGTTCCCACAAAGGTCAGCTGGAATTTTCCACGTTAGGGCCCTGTTTTTGTTTTAGACCGGATCTCATGTATATTTCAAGCTGACTCTGAATTTGCTATGTAATGGAGGCTGCCCTTGAATTCCTGATTCTCCTTCCTCCACCTTCTGAGTACTGGGATTTCAGGTGCACGACTTTACGTGGTGCTGGGGATGGAACCAGGGCCTTCTGAAAGCAAGCATTCTATCTGAGCCACACCCCTAATCCTGCTCTTACAGGGACAGCCTAGGTTGTTACAAACCTCATAGCCTGCAGAAAGCTAAGGTACCTTGAGTTCTCATAGTCAGCCTTTCTTTCTTTCTAAGTTATGGCAGGAGATTTAGAACCACAGGAAGGGACCCAGCCTTGGCTTTGCTTGGCACTGCAGTCATCTTCCAGGATCCTACATACTATATATCTAAAGATGGCCATCTTGGAGCTGTGGTCTCAGCCTTTCACTGGGTGGGTTCTGTCTGGGACTATTAAACACAGACAGACAATTCGAAGGCATTGGTGAGAAGGCAATCAGTCCATCAATCAACTAACCAAGTTCCACCCCCACCGATGATGCCCTGGGGGAATCCGGGGGCCTCCGATCTGGTAGAAGACTCTGTCATGTTGATGACACAGGAAGGGCTCTGGATTGGGGATGTTTCAAGAGCCGAGAGAAGTCACGAGGGTTGTGGGGAAGAGGATGAGAAGCAACTCTGGCTATTCCAGAGGCTGAGGCTGGAGGATTATGGGTTCAAGACCAGCATGGGCAACGTAGTGAGACCTTGTTTAAAAATAAAAGCAAACGTAGGGCTAGAGGCATGGTTCAGTGGTGGATTGTAGCATGAATAATAAAAACCCAGAGACAGATATTGGGGTTCAACCTGAAGGTCAGAAAAGCAAAACAGCAAGCCATTGATTTTTACCTCTACTTCAGTCTGAAATAGAGACCCTGCCTCCAGGAATCTCAGAATGAGACTGTATCTGAGAGCTGTCTCTTCCCATTTTATATTCCTTCCTAGGGCTGGGGTTAAAGATGTGTACCACTACCTCCCGGGTCTATGGCAAACTAGTGAAACTACTGGGAGTAAAGGTGTGTGCCACCATTGCCTAGTCTGTAAGGCTGACCAGTGGGGCTGCTTAGAGTCCCCCAGTGAGGGGCTGGGGTGTGGCTCAGTGGTAGAGCCCCTGCCTAGAATCCCCCAGTGAGGTGCTGGGGTGTGGCTCAGTGGTAGAGCACCTGAATAGAATCCCCCAGTGAGGGGCTGGGGTGTGGCTCAGTGGTAGAGCACCTGCCTAGAATTCCCAGGGAGGGGCTGGGGTGTGGCTCAGTGGTAGAGCACCTGCTTGGAATCCCCCAGTGAGAGGCTGAAGCATGGCTTAGTAGTAGAGTGCTAACTTAACATGTGTCAAGCCCTGGGTTCCATTGCTAGCACTGTAAAAATGATCAAACAACAACAACAAACAACATAGGAACTCTTCAGTTCTATAAATTTCCATTTAATATTTCCAGACTGCAGTTGATAGAGGACAGGAGGTGACACCGTGGGTTGTGGGATGGTCACGGCTCTCTCTAAGAAAAACGAAGGACATCCTGCCATCTTGTTCTACTAAGAAGACTCCTGACAGAGCTGGAGAGGAATGGTGGTGGGGGCATTCAAGGTTCTGGGAGTGCTCTGGGTAGGGCTGTTGAAAGAGCTGTGAGGGATAAGGAAGATGAGGAAGGGGCATGAATGGTAGAATTGGTGGCCCACCTCCTCTGGGCTCCACTTCTTCCGGCAGAATTGGGGTTCAGGTTGAGTATCCTCCACAACTGAGACCCCTCTCTGGAGGTTCAGGGAAGATGACCACTATTGAGATCAGGGTGAGGCATACATGAAGAAGTACAGATCACAGCCTGAGCAAGAACCCGCTTTCTGGAACTCACGTGCTCCCTGGGGGTAAGGGCAGAGGGGGCAACTCTCTAGCATCATGTACTCTGTGTTTTTCCCTGAGCCAGGGCTGCATCTCTGAGGCAGCCCCAGGGCTGTGGAGGCCAGGACTCTTGAGGATAGGAGTCACAGGGCTCCACTCAGGGGTCTGGGGAGGGTCCTTCTTGCCACTGGTGGCTCTGGTGTCCCACAGTACAGCTTGTAGGTGTGTTACTCTAATCTCTATCTCCATCTTCTCGTGGCCTCGCCCTGTCTTGATATCATCTTCCCTGGATTTTACAGATACATTCCCATCAGATTTGGGGGCCTGTTTAGATCATCTATGATCTTGTTTAATCCCATCCTTAGACACATTTTTTTTTTTTGTGGAGAAATGGATTTCTTGGTGAGGTTTGAGGTGGACATGGATTTAGAGAGGGAACCCTATTTGTTTTATGACAGTAGGTCACTGCAGTTTAAGTAATGATAGAACACAAGCCTCCAGATGGCAGGTGGGGCCACATGATGCTCTAGGCATGCTAGGACTCCAGATCAGCAAGCGCTAAGGCCCTGGGGCTGAGCAGCCACCTGAGAGAGCAGCAAATGGCCATATGGTGGGGAGAGAGTGAGGCAGCACAGATCTGTCCTGTTGATTCCAGGTGGATGACCAAGGTTCAGGGTGGGTGGAGTACCCCTTAGAGTGTAAAACACTCAGTGGTAGCTTCAGAATATCAGAGGTTTCTCATTACAGGAATGAAGAGAAGAGGGTCTGAGGTGGGCATTGTGGCTGGCAGAGTCGCCCATTTGAGAGTAAGGGAATGTGGAGATGCCCAGGGCCTGATGGGAGAGGGACCATTGTCTGGAAGGATGGTAGAGAGAGGGGCTAACCACAGTGGTTATGGGTCCTGAAGGGATGACTTTCACCACCAGGGGCAGTAGGAGAAGAGATATCAATGGTATCTGAGGAAGGCAGGTCCTCCAGGGATGATGATGATTAGGAGGAGCTTGTGGAGTGAGGTGTGAGTCATTTGCTTCATCCTGAAGACCCTGGGGACCCTGTCTCCATGAGCAGGCGAGGCTTGCTCTGACAGTTGCTCCTTGGCGACTTCTTTTCTTGGAGATAATGGGTAAAAGGCCTTGGACATGCTAAGCCAGTGCTCTAGTGTAGAGCTAAGACCCCAATCCCTCACTGGGGGATTGTAGGCAGGGGCTCTACCACTGAGCCACACTCCAGCCCCTTACTGGGGGATTCTAGGCAGGGGCTCTACCACTGATCCACACCTCAGCCCCTCACTGGGGGATTGTAGGCAGGGGCTCTACCAATGAGCCACACCCCAGCCCCTCACTGGGGGATTCTAGGCAGGGGCTCTACCACTGAGCCACATCCCAGCCCCTCACTGAGGGATTCTAGGCAGGGGCTCTACCACTGAGCCACATCCTAGCCCCTCACTGGGGGATTCTAGGCAGGTGCTCTACCACTGAGCCACACCCTAGCCCCTCATTGGTAGATTCTAGGAAGGTATTGTTCTACTATTGAACTACATCCCCAGATCTCTTCTGACTTTTTGAGACAAGGATCTCACTTCCAGTCCAGGCTGGCCTTGAATTTTCTGATCCTCCTTGTGTCAGCCTCCTGAGCAGCTGGGATGATGGTCTCAGTCACCACACTCAGATGACAGCCAATTTCTCACCTTCCCTTTCTTCTCTCACAGGAGGAAAACAGGCAGATCCTGGCTCGGCAGAAGTCAAACTCACAGTCTGATTCCCATGACGAGGAGATCTCCCCAACACCCCCGAACCCTGTGGTAAAGGCACGCCGCCGGCGGGGTGGTGTGAGTGCTGAGGTTTACACTGAGGAGGATGCTGTCTCCTATGTGAGGAAGGTAAAGAACCCCGTTGTATTTCCACATACGCCTGGGATGTCCCTGTCAGCCCTGATGATCTAGATTGCTTGTCTGCGTAGAGCACGCGGCCCCATGGGAGGGGAGACTTGATGTGTAGGATTACTGTCATCATTGCCACTATGAACTAAGTAATGTTTGCGTGGCTTTTCTGGCGGGGGTGGGTGTCTCAGCAGCTCCCTGTGGTTTTAAGACCTGAACGATCTTGGGGGAGAAGAGGGATAGGTTCTCCAGTACAAGACAGGATATAGTTCTGTCGTGCTACGTGCCTTTTAGTCTCCATTAAGGGCACTAAGTTATGAGGCCTGGATTCCACGCTCATACCTTACCAACCCAAACATCCCACACAGGCTTGGCCTGCAAATCCCACCACAAGGGTGCTTCAGGGGTCCCACGCGGGAATTTGGGAGACACAGCCCAGCGTATTGTACCGTTTTAGTCATTTTCCGTTGCCTAGCTGGGTAGTGTTGATCGCTCACAGCGCTGTGCAGATGTCACACTCATCAGCAAGCATGTTTCTCATCTTGAGAAACAGAAACACCGCAGCCTCTATATATCCACCCCATGCTGCCTTTGTCCCAGGATTTAATACTGTATGAGTGGAGGATAAAAACTAATATTGCATTATGGTAAAATCGTCCGGAAGCTGCTGGGTATGGTGATGCAGGCCTGCGATGCAGGCCAGCCTGGGCTACACAGGAGATCAGAACAAAAGAAAGTCCTCAGAGCACTTCTGCTCTGTGATCTTCTTCCCCACTCGTAGAGCTACAGTTTGACTGTGTGCAAAGCTTCAGATCGTTCCATAGTCCAGGGCCACAGGCAGAGAGTGCCATGTGGTGCCCAGTTCCAGCGCAGTCAAAAGCAGAGAACAGTGAGACGTCACAGATCAGAGGAGACCAAGAGGAGAGGGTACTGAATGTTACCTGACAAGGTCCTGGAACAGGAGAAGGTCATCTAAGAAAGCTAGAGATCAGATTAAAACATGGATGCAACTTATCCATCATGCATCCATTATGGCTTCCACAGCTCAATGGGTGAGGGTCATGGCACAGTATAGAGTGTTTGCCCAGAACCCTACAGGGAGGGGCTACGGGCATGGTGGTTTAGTGGTAGAGAATATGCCTAGATGCTCTACCTACCACTATGCCACACTGTAGCCCCTCACTAGGGGTTCTAGGCAGGGGTTCTACCACTGAGCCACACCCAGCCCCTCCCTGGGGAATTCTAGCCAGGGGTTCTACCACTGAGCCACACCCAGCCCCTCACTGGGGGATTCTAGGCAAGGACCATATTACTACACTTCCAGCTTTCTAATATTTAAACATCTGCTTATCATCTTTCTACAAATTCAGTGAGAAAAAAAAAACAACAAAAGGTACTGTGTGTCTTCTGGCACCTTCTAGGTTGGCTGTGAAGTTCTAAAGAGCCGCAGGCCCCAGACAGTTCCAAACTCTAAAGATTAGACTTTTCCCAAGCCTCTTATTGGGCTGCTCTAGTTTTCTTGCTTTTTATTTATTTAAAATTTTTCTAAAGGTTTACTGGCAAGATGGCTCAGCAGGTAAACGTGCTTGCTACTGAACCTAATGACTTGAATTGGATACTTAGAATCCACATGGTGGAAATAGAGAACTAACTGCCTCTGGCAGGTTGATATTTGACTGCCATATGAACACTATGGCACATGAACCCTGCCCCAATATATAAATGAATGAATTTAATTAATTCATTTAAAGTGAAACACGTGTGACACTCCCTGGTGTTCTTTTAGCATGGCCGGAGCCTAGTCTCATGAGGATGGCAGGATAGGGGCTCCAGGATGGATTATCCCTTAGTTTCTAGCAGGAGTTTGGGATGCTAGCTCTGTCCCTGGGGCTAAACTGTCTGTTCCTTGGCTTCTCCCCAGGTCATTCCCAAGGACTATAAGACCATGACTGCCCTGGCTAAGGCCATTTCCAAGAACGTGCTCTTCTCACACCTGGATGACAACGAACGGAGGTAGGCGTGCCCGGGTTTACACACTCGCCCTCCTGGCTGAGTCACGCTGGCAGCCATGGGGATGCTGGCTTTGGGAGAGGCAGGTTATTGATTGCTTCTTGTGAGCTCCCAAGGAAGGAGCAGTGTCTACAGTACATAGGTGTGTGCTCATCTGGACCAGTACAGGAGTCAGGTTCTGGTCCTGGGTCGGAGTTCACAACTTCCGTACGCTCTGGCTTGTAGTAAGATACAGCAATACTGCCTTTTTCTCCGATCATGTGGCTGAATTTTTCAGCATCTTCCATATGCCGGTGTAGGCCTTGTGTTCTCTGAAACAATCAGGGCAGCAGAGTAGGAGGGAAGTTGTTATTTCATCGAGAGAAACCTGGGGGTCAGGAAGGGCTCCAGGGCTGTTTGGGAAGTTCACTGTATAAATGATTAGAAAAACCAGAAAGTTTTATCTGGGCGTGGTGGTGTATGCCTGTAATCTCAACACTTGGGAGGCTGAGGCAGGAGGACTGATGTGAGTTCAAGGCCATCCAGGTTGACGTGAGCTAGAGCCTGTCTCAAAAAGCAAGAGCAGGAGGTAGGGAGACGGTTAAGTACTTGCTGTGTAAGTGTGAGGCTTCACATAAACCAGGCATGGTACCCACCTGTCATCCTGACACTCGGAAGGTGGAGGCAGGAGGATCAGAAGTTCAAGGCATGTTTTCAGCTGCACAGCTAGCCTGAAGCCAGTTTAGATGACATGAAACCCATCTCAAAAATACGTTTTTTTTCTGTCTACATCAACCAACATAGGAGGCCAGTGACTCCTCTTTGTTAGCATTTAAATGTGAAGTGTATTCTACAAGCTTAGGTGTCCCAACTTTTGTTTGCATTTTTATTCAGTGTTCACATTTATCTGTCTGTCCATATTCATTTGTCCGTCTGTCCGTCCGTCCATTTATCTATCTATCCATGTATCTATCTATGTATCTATATATCTATCATCTATCTATCTATCTATCTATCTATCTATCATGTATGTATGTATGTATGTATGTATGTATCTATCTATCTATCTATCATCTATGTATGTATGTATCTATCATCTATCTATCTATCTATCTATCTATCTATCTATCTATCTATCTATCTGTGTGGAGAAGGGTGTGCACATATGTAAGAGTACAGCTTTCAGGAATTGCTTCTCTCTTTCCACTGTGTGAGTCCTGGAGATTGAACTCAGGTCACCAGGCTTGACAGCAAGCCCCTTTACGGCTGAACCATCTTGCAAGCTCTCACGTGTTTGAACTCTTGATGTTCAGCTGGAGTTGGTATTGTAGGGGTTTGAAGAAGCTACGACCTGGGGCATGGTTGTCAGAGGTGGGTCTCTGGGGAGGGGGTATAGCTTTCCTTTACTTTTGGCTCATGTTTTTTGATTTCTGATTTACCAACATGTGAATGTATTAACCACAAGCTCCCACTTCCGTGCAGAGACACCCAGGTCATCCCGTCTCCCTTGCCCCAGGGAGCTGACCTCCTTTGACTGTGAGCTGAAATTAAAGACTTCTCTCTTAAGTTGCTTCTGTCAGGGGTTTGATAGTGCTGACTAGAAAAGTAGCCAGTATGGTTGGTCATCCCTGGTTTGGCAGGGAATAAGGCCTCTTCAGAGGTATACACGAACCAAACCCTGGGACCTGAGAATGCTCCTTCGCTTGGCACAGAAGGATATCAGATGCAATTAACTTGATGTTGAAAGAATTCCTTCCCTGGAAACATATAAATGTCATCTACCTGCTCCTGTTAAGGTTCTAGTGACAAAGTTCAAGTTCACCAAAGCTCGCCTGGGCATTCAGGGAGCTCATTGGGCTTACAGAGCATGGGTGTAGAGCCCCTCAGTTAACCTTCCCCAGGCTATATATCCTAGCACCTCTGTCCCCATAAGGCCACATGCAATGAGGGCAAACCACACACAGAGGAATGGCTGGAATCTCAGATGAGGGTTCAGTGACCCGCACCACGCCCTCTTTTTCAAAGGGGAACATCCTCAGTTCACAGGCAAGGTCATGGTTGACACTTGTATGCGGGCACAGACAATGTGATAGAAATGGTGGGTGTTGGGCTCTGAGGACTGCTCTCTCACACTTGAGGATACGGGTGGGACTCTAAGTGGCATCCTTGCGAGGGGTGAGGGAAGATTGGGACACATGCGGAGGCTCCCTGCCACAGAACTAGAGGAGTGTTGTGGTGGCCAGAAAGGGATGCCTAGCATCACAGGACCCTAAGAAGCAGGAAGGGCCTCTCCTAGAGCTTCAGAGGAGTACAGCCTGAGTCCACCTCTTGATTCTGAGTTTTTGGAAGTGTTGAGAAAAGCAATTCTCAGTTCATGCCAGTTCATGGTATTGGGCATGGTGGTCACAGGATTCCTTGTCCAGCTGGTAGCAGTGTTTGCCTGGGGAAACGGCTCTGTTTACCAGGGGTAAGCAGTTGACTGAATATTCTACCCTCCCTACCTGCCTGCCGTGTGTGTGCAAGTCCATGTGTAAACCAGAGGTTAGCCTTGGGGTCATTCCTTACCGTCCATCCATCGTGTGCTTCGAAACCCAGCCTCCTCTGAACCTGGAACTTAATGATTCAAGTAGGCTGTCCAGCCAGTGAGTCTTAGGGATCCACCTGTCTCCCTCTCCAAAGTGCCAGGATTACAAGCATGTAATCCTGTCATTACCGGCTCCTTACTACAGTGCTAGGGACTGAGCTCAGACTTCATGGGGCAAACCCTTTACTGACTGAGCTGTCTCCCCAGCTTTGTCCCTGTTCTAACTTGAGCTCATGTGTCCATTGCCATTTGAAACTTGACTTTGAATGAGTGTGGCATTCACGTAGTCCAAAGCTCAGCAGGTGCAGAGAGAAGGGTTCAAAGTGAAAGGTGACTTTCTGCAGACTACCCTAGGACCATTACTTGACTCTGGATGGATCTTCATGGGCGCCCCTGTGGCCCCCTTCTGCTTCTTAGATAGGAACTCACTTGTCCCGTGGTGGATTTTAACACAGACAGGCCGTCTCTTCTGTCCCCCACTTTCTGTGTATGTACAGGGACATGTTCTTGTGTGTGTGCAGGTGTATGTGTGCACATGCCTATGTGGGTATGTGCATGGAGAGGTCAGAGGTCAGTCTAGGTTGTCATCCTCAAGCACTAGATACTTTAATTTTCTAAGGCAGGGTCTCTCATTGGCCTAGAACTCACCCAGTTGTCTAGGCTGAACAGTCATTGAGCCTCCGGGGGGCCAGTGAACCTCAGAGTCCATTCTCTTTGCCTCCTAAGGACTGGGATTATAAGTGTGTAATTTAATTTAAATTTAAATTTTTTTTTAGAATTCCATACATGAGTAAACTATATTTACATCATTTATACCCCTTCTTCCTCCTCCAACTCCTCCTGGCATTCCTTCTCTATTTATTTCACACATGCACACACACACATGCACACCCTACGGAGCCCATTCAGTGTTACTCATACGTACATGTGTTTAGGGCGGTCCACTTGGGACTGGATGGCCCATCAGAGGACTCCTCCCCAGGGAAGACTGATTCCCCTCTCTCAGGCACCATCTACTATGGTTCTTCATCTAGGAGTGGGGCCTTGGGGACTTATCCCTCTTTGAATCCAGGTATTTTGTTTGTTTGTTTGTTTTGAGACAGGGTTTCTCTGTAGCTTTGGAGCCTGTCCTGGAACTAGCTCTTGTAGACCAGGCTGGCCTTGAACTCACAGAGATCCGCCTGCCTCTGCCTCTTGAGTGCTGGGATTAAAGAAATCCAGGTATTTTTATGTGTTCCGGGGTTTGAACTCAGGTCCTTGTGCTTCTACATCAAGCACTTTATCCACTGGACAATCTCCCCTGCCCCTTTCTGCCTTGTTGAGACAAGGTCTCATTATGCAGCTCAGGTAAGCCTTGAATTTGTTATCCTCCTGCCTCGGCTTTCTGACAGCTGGAATTGTAGGTAGAGATACGACACCTGGCCTAATTCACTCTTTTGTGGACATGGTATAGGTATACAGTTGATTTCAGCTGGCCTAGCCTTTCCGGCACTACTCCATGATATACGATTGTAGGCAGCAAGTTCCTGCTCCGTCTGGGTCATTTATAGCAGAGGCAGGTCACTAATAACACTCTAGAATTGTGCGATCTCCAGCCAAGTGGCCAAGAAGCGGAGGAAGCAGATGGCTGGCTTAATGATACCTCTTTGCAGAGCTGGCCGTGGAAGGAGCGGGTCACATGGAGCTCTGGGTCTGTTGTTTTCCACAGAAGAAAACTCACTTTTCATATGTACACAGTAGACTCTGGTTCCTGGCCACAGAGCTGGATCCAGGAAGTGGTCCTAAGGGAGCAGGCAGGGAGGCTTCCACTCCCGAATCTCTCACATGATGCTGCTCTGTGAAGCTCCCAGAACTGCCTTCCCCTGTCTTGTTGAAACCAGGCTTAGCGGCTCTGTCTGGCTCACTGCGGTTTGGCAAGGGCAGAGTTCCAAGACTGTAGGCGTTGAGCCATGGCCTAGGCACCCCCCCCCAATTCTCCCCACGTGAGTGGAATAAAGTGAACAATGCCTTGCAGGGTAAGCGTGCCTCCTTTCCTGATGGCCTCTCCCTCCAGATCCAGGGTCAAGACAAGCTCGTTGTCATAGGCTGAGCAATTTTGCTCGTGTCAGTTTATCCTGGAGTTCTTCTAAGCTGTATCAGAGACACTCAAGTTTGGAAAGGGGAAAGATGATAATCCTTTTATTTATATTAAATCCTTTTATTTAGAAGAGGATTATGGGACTGGGGAGATGGCTCGGCTGGTAAAGGGCTTCTGAGTTCAATCCCTAGATCCCACATAAAAAACAGGGGCATGGTAGCACATGCTTGTAATCCCAGCCGAGGCAAGAGGTAATAGGCACAGGTTGGTCTTTGGGACTGCTGGTCAGCCTGTTTGTTCTACTTGTTGGCTCCAAACCAGACAGAAAAACAAGACGGACGGAAGCTGAGGAACAAGAGCTGA